AAAAAAAAAAAATGAGGCTCAATCAACTCCTAAAAAAAGAATATATAAAAGTTTATGGGTTATGCTTGGTGTATATAATTTGGGTACATAGAAGTGTTCACACCTTTCATATAAGTTGGGACTCATAGAAGGTGGGCCCCACTCAATGTGAGCGGTGTGATTAACATTATGTACATAAATTATGCATATCAAAACTTTTTCAAATTTTATTGGAGGGGACCAAAAGTAAAGAAAACGTTACATTGGAGCGACCTAAATAACCATAATTCTCCACTATCCAGTCTATTCTGTCTTCTCTCTCCCGTCCGGCTATCCCCCTCGTACAATAATTCTGTCCATATACAATTACAGTAGGAAATCCAAGCCACTAAAACTAGATCACCCACCAGGCAAAAACTCAACCACATTTACTCGCACGGTCACACCCCCTTATCAATTCTCCCTCTATATATATTTATCCCCTTTCTCCACTTTCCATCACACAAACACTGCACACGAGATCAAATTTCGAAGCATATAAATTTTCTTGTTTCCTTCAGAATCAAGTACCCAAAAGGCTGGATTTTAAGTAGGAGGTGTTAGAGATTCCTGTGGTGTTGTTTTGAGAGAGAGGGGGTAAAACCCAGAGGGAGACAAGTTGTAGACAACACGGCTATACTAAGAGCGAAACCGCTTCTCATCCATGTCCGGGCAGTGCGATGTAAGGGTTTTGTAAGCGAGAGCAGCCCTTCGCCGCACGGTGGACGTGGTGCTTTGCCTTCTGAAGGCGGCAGCCCTTCCGATCTCCTCTTCCTTGCCGGCGGCGGGATCTACTGTTAGGCTCTGTAGAGTAATATATTAGATTTACTGTTTAAAATTGATTATTATCGTATTACTGTTTAGCTAAAACGTTCTTTTATCTGCGTTTGGTTGTGGGCTTGGTGGGTTGTTCTTGAAATCTTGTAATTTGGAAGATAAAAAAATAAAAAATAAAAAATACCTATTAAGAGATTTAAGATGATGCTGAGAATCAAGAGAGTTCCAACTGTTGTTTCGAATTACCAAAAGGAAGAGGGGGAGGAAGGCGGCTGCGGCCGGAATTGTCTGAGAAACTGTTGCCTTCCAGGTATCAATTGAATTTCTTCGATTATTTTAAGGTTTTCCTCCATTATTTATTATTATTATTATTATTATTATTATTATTATTATTATTATTATTATTTAGTTTTTTTTTTAATGGAAATTGGGTTGCAATATTTACTGTATTTCCGATTAAATTAGGAGCAAAGTTGCCTCTGTATGCTTTCAAGAGGGTGAATAAAGTTTCTTGTGATAAGGGTTTGGTTGACCATGAGGATAAAGAGGCTCCAGTTGCCTTCTTGGACTCCCTTCTTCTTGGGGAGGTAATTTCCTTTTGATTTACCATATTCATCAGTTGCTTGTTACTGAGATTACTATGGTTTTCTGAAATTATTTCTACTTGATGATAGTGGGAGGATCGTATGCAGAGAGGCCTTTTTCGCTATGATGTCACTGCTTGCGAAACCAAGGTTTTTGTCGTTCCCTTTCATTTCTTATTCTGTACCAGGTTTCAGTTCTAGGCCAAGTATAAAGTATTTTCTTATACTGTACTGTTTCGCATCTGAGTTGTGTACTAATAGTAATGAAATATAGGTGATTCCAGGGGGGTATGGCTTTATTGCACAGCTGAATGAGGGCAGGCACCTTAAGAAGAGGCCGACTGAGTTTCGAGTTGACAAGGTATTGCAGCCTTTTGATGAGAACAAGTTCAACTTTACTAAGGTTGGGCAAGAGGAGGTGCTCTTCCAATTTGAACCAAGCGACAATGATGAAGTCCAGTTCTGGCCAAGCGCCCCCATTGATGTCAAGAATTCACCGAGTGTCGTTGCCATCAATGTATTTTTCCTTCTACTTGCTTTTCTTTTGGTTTTTAGTTGAAAATTGGAGCATTATATTGACCGTTGGTGTTTATAACTTGACAGGTCAGTCCAATTGAATATGGACACGTGCTGTTGATCCCCCGAATTCTTGAATGCTTGCCTCAGAGAATTGACCGCGAAAGCTTCCTGCTCGCTCTACACATGGCTTCAGAAGCAGGAAATCCCTACTTCCGATTGGGATACAATAGCTTGGGTGCATTTGCCACCATCAACCACCTTCACTTCCAGGTTCCAAACCATGACCATTTTAAGCCTGTGTTTAGGTCATGTTTATAAGCACTCAAAACTACTTTTCATCCCCACATTTAACCACAAGTACTACCCATTTATTTTACCGCTCATTGCTATCTATTTACAATTTAAAACTTTTATAAGCACTTCCCAAACATACTTTAAATTGCTATGACTTATTCTTAGTGACATGTAGCTAAAATCTTGTTCATTAACCGTTGGTGTTTGGCTTATGGAACATGCACTGATAATTTATAACTTCTATATAACTAAAAATAATATTTATATTTGTCTTGCAACAGGCTTATTACTTGGCTGTGCCTTTTCCTATTGAGAAAGCTTCCACTGGGAAGATAACCACTACACATTGTGGGGTGAAAATCTCCAATATTCTGAACTATCCCGTTAGAGGTCTTGTTTTTGAGGGTGGAAACACGCTGGAAGGTTTATCCAATGTCGTATCAGACTCTTGCATCTGCCTGCAAGATAACAACATACCTTACAACATTCTCATCTCTGATTCTGGAAGGAGGATTTTCCTCTTCCCACAGGTATTTACTCGACATGTAATCCTTTCATTTGATCTTTCACTTTCTAATTTTTCAAATGAACAGTGCTATGCGGAGAAACAAGCTCTTGGGGAAGTGAGTCCCGAGCTCCTTGACACTCAAGTTAATCCAGCGGTTTGGGAAATCAGTGGACACATGGTGTTGAAAAGGAAGGAGGACTATGAGGATGCATCTGAGGGGAATGCTTGGAGGCTTCTTGCCGAGGTCTCCCTTTCTGAAGAGAGGCTAGAAGAAGTGAAGGATCTTATATTTGAAGCCATTGCTTGCTATATTGATGATGACAAATGTGTCACTCCATCCTTGCTTAAGGAGTCTGATGTTACCCCAGAGTCTATTGAAGACCCCGATGCCCTTACAGGCTCCCACCCTTCTATGGTTCCTGCCTAGCGGAAAATGCCATGTTCTGATCTGAGATTTGGGCATTGAAGACCCGATCAGTGGTCTCTTCGTATCATATTTAATATTATTTCAGTGTGATATAGGAGTTTCTATGGCTTCTATTGTGGATATGCCTAAATAATGCAAAACACGTTCGACTCGTGTGTGTATGTGGAGTAATGTATTGAATTTATGTTTGATTTAGACATCTTAATCGATCCTTATGTATGTTGCTTATAAGCTGCCCAGTTGGTTGATGATTCCCAATAAAAGAAGCTCGTCTCTGTCCCTACGATGCTTTGTGATCTTTACAGGAAGTTTAATTCCATAGAGGATGATAATCTTTCCGTTTTTAATTTAATTCAAAGGGGAGCTAGCTTTGCTTGCTTGTGAAACTCGGAAAAGTCTGTATTTTTTGTTTATTAGTTTTCCTTCGAACATTTGACACTATTTTACCTCTTTGGCCACTTAAAATTAGTAGCCGACTGAACAACTTGGGTAAGATTAAGAAGTAAAAACAAGTCTGGAATGTTCTCTCTCTGGGGGGTAGCGTTCATTTTCTCTTTTAACTCTTCTCAGAATCGTATATTATTTTCCTTACATTTTGACAACATGTGAACGCTCAAATTCTGAACATGATAATCTGATTTCATGATTTGGGACTTGCAATTTAAGGCCACAACTTTGATAGATCTACGAGATGAGCTTTTTTTTTTTTTTTAATCATTTTTTGTGATTTAAGATTTTTTCAGATTTTTTTCTTTTGAACAATAAGAACATGTTCATGTTTGAACAGTTGGGTATGCAATTGAAGAAATAAAACATTTTCAAGAATGAGACATTTTTCTTTTCCCATACTAATGAAGTGATGCTTTTCGTATGATTCCAGAACTCCTAGTTGTTTGATTTCTTCTTCTCTTTATGGTCCTTTTTCAACATTAACTTTAAATATGACATTCACACGAAAATCAAATACAATAATGATCATTCATATTTTTCAATTAAAGAATTGTCAAACAGAGTTCCGCTTCACTCACGTCAAGCGTTCATAATATTAAAAGTAGAATAACTTTTTATACATATATTTTATGAGATCTATGAGCACTAATTGCTTAGAATCTGTTGGGGAGTGATTTTTTTCTCAAAAAAATTGATTTTTATATCATTATTTTATTATTTTAGCCATCACATTTGACTTCTTCTCTCACAATTGGACCCCACTTTTCTCCTAACGATCAAAAAATCAATTCTCGAAATCAATCTCAAACAGGCTCTTATTTATTTGTAAATACTTATTAAGTTGATTGTTAGTTAGAAGCGGAGGGAAGACCCTTTCAGGGGCTTAAGCCCATGGAAAAACCAACCCAAAAGAGCTCCATAATGCTCAGCCCACCCAATTTTTTATGGGAATAATACATAACCCAGGCTTTTAAAGTACAACATTTCATTTTTAAGAATCAAGGTTTAAGAGCCTGTTTGAACCACATTATAATGAGAATGAGAAATAGAGTCGTTATGGACCCCACACCAGAGATAGAAATTCAAAAATAGTGACTTGATGTGATGGATAACGGTCATATTTTTTATTTTAATGAGGTAAAAATGTGGCTCAAACGGGGGCTAAATATACACAAATCAGGTCATAAATTATATATATATATATATATATATGGTATAATTACAAACGGCTCCTTAAAATAAGTAATATGTTACAATTTGTGCTGAAATCTCGATCACAAATCAATGCAACATCTCAGAAAAAGAAGCTCGAGCAATCGTAGGAAGAAAATCATTCACATTATCGGAATCATATTCGATAGCAATCAGAATTAATTGATCCGTAATCAAGCAACTTTCGTTCTTCAGTAATCTGTATTACAATCAGGTATGTGATTCCAATTTTAAAATCCTATGACAGCGTCTGTATTCATCGTGTGGGTTCGAATTCAACCAATTCATGTTTGGGCATTACGATTTATAGACAGTAGCCTATGTGACTCAGCTGCATAATGATTGTGGACGTTAAATAATTACGTTGTTGACAGTTACATATGTGACCGGTCTCAATATGTAGCATGAATTTCAATGTGTGGCCGTCATAGGTGATTGGGATTGACTGCATGTGGTACAGTTCTACGTATGATACAGAATTTTTTGTATGTGACCTTGAGTTGTATGAAATCATACTTTCTGTCAGTGCCAAGAACTATATAAATGTGACCCTAGTAAATACCTTAAACTGATATGTGACTGATTTTCTCATATAAATCCTGCGGTTTTCCTTTTGAATTTTGCAGAAATGAGATATGTGCACGTTTGCTTGTTATACAGGTCACAGTCAGCACTAGTGATGGTTGATCATAATTGTTCTTATATAAAGCTTGTGAAAACAGCAGTGACAGAGTTCAGTCTAGATCCTACTAAGGTACCTGTCACAATGACTTACACACTGAATGTTCATCTACCTCCAGTAAGAATAAGTAGTGATAGTAATGTTCGAACATACGTGACTCTAAAAACTGTAGAGCGTGACCCGTCAAAGTACCCCATAAACATTGAGGTGACATCTACAGAAATAGGGCATGAATCATTCAATTCTATGTTGGACAATCCAAATGCACTTTATGTGCAATCTAGTGCAGGGGTGTATCCGTTGCAGAATATAACAACTGACCTATGTGATGCAGTTGTAGAAACATCCCATCGCATGGATGAAAATTTGGTCACAATTGTTTCCATTCCTGAAGCAATGAATATAGAAGAAGGCAGAGTGTTTCGCAATAAGAATGTTTTGAAATTGAGCATGTCTTTCTTTGCCATACAAAATATGTTTGAATACGTGGTAGTTCGATCAGATAAGAAGGAGTATCTGGTCAAGTGCTCATATGATGACTGCAGCTGGATATGTAGGTCTTCAAGGTTGGAAAAAACAGAGATTTTCAATAGTCGAAAGCTAACCGATGGTCACACATGTGCTTCAAACATAGTCCTAGGAGCTCACAGGCAAGTCTCAACATCTGTGGTGTCCTCATGCATCAAGTATAAGTATACATCATCGCGTACTGTATATACTCCGAACGATATATGTAACGACATGTTGCATACATATGGGGTCACAATGAATTATGTTAAAGCTTGGAGGTCGCGGGAAAGAACTTTGAAACTAATCAGGGGGGATCCAACAGAGTCATTTTGCCGACTACGAAGCTACTTTTATATATTTGAACAGACAAATCCTGGAACGGTGACAAAGTTGGAAGTTGATGGTCACAACAGATTCAAGTACTGTTTCATGGCACTTGGTGCATCTATTGAAGGATGGGTCCACTGTAGGCCTGTAATAGTTGTGGACGGCACATACTTGAATGGGCACTACGGAGGCACTCTATTTACAGCTTGTACACAGGATGCCAATAATAGCGTCTTTATGCTTGCATTCGGTGTTGGGGATAACGAAAATGATACATTTTGGACATGGTTTTTAGAAAACTTTAGGGGTGCTTATAGTAATAGGGAAAGAATTTGTTTTGTATCAGATAGGCATAACAGTATAAAGAATGCAGTTGAACGGGTGTATCCAGGTACAATCAATGGAATTTGTACGTATCATTTGCTACAAAACTTGAAATCACACTTTGGTAAATCAAGTCACAATATAACACAACAATTCAATTTGACTGTTCATGCATACACTTTGTCAGATTTTGAATACAATATGCAACAGTTGGACACAATCAACAAGAAGATTAGACGTTACCTGGTAAGGTTTTAGTTTCGTACATGTACATACTATCCGTAAAAAGTGTATGCCTTCCAACCTAATAAATGTTTTGGCTTCGCACGATGAAATTGGACTAGAAAGGTGGTCACGGCTCTACATGCCTGCAAATAGGTACTCCATGATGACCTCTAATATAGTGGAATCCGTTAACGAAGTCACAAAAGCAACGAAGAACTATCCTATTATAGCGTTGTTGGATTCATTTCGACAAACAATACGATCTTGATTTTGTAAGAACAGAGACACGACATATGGCACATTCACAAAGTTGTCCACCAAGTACGAGAAATTGATGAGAGAAATGAGCACATCTTTGAGGAACATGAGGGTGACAAACATAATTGTTACATTACATCATATACATATATATGTGACTTGGTGGAATATCTAATATGTACGATGTGTGACCTGAAATTATCATTTTCTTTGTTTGCAGGTATCTCCAGCAAACCAAACAGTATTTTCGGTTGCTGATGAGGCATCATCATTTGTCATTGATATAGAGAAACGAACTTGCACATGTCGGTTGCTTCAAGTTGATCAGATGTCATGTCCACACGCTTTAGCTGTAATAGCAACAACTAAACGGGATCCGTACGATTATTGTTCGTACTTCTACACCCGTGAAGCGTACATGAATGCATACCAATATACAGTATACCAAGTGGGGAGTCCAAATGAGTGGATTGTGCCCCTGAAAGTTGAAGACGTAATTGTCCTGGCACCTAATCAGAAAAGGAGATCAGGCAGACCAACTGAAAAGAGGAGAAGATCATGCATTGAGGGAAAACAAATGATGAAATGTGGACGTTGTGAAGGTAATGGTCACAATCGCAGGACATGCAACAACCTACTTCCATTAGCAAAAAAATAATAGAAAATCATGTGAAATGTTAACGGTATCGACATTTTAGCGTTCATAACTTTGGTTTGTTAGGCCCTTACATGTATACAATGTAGGCTTACATTTTCATTAATCCGTGACAAACAAAATATGCAAATGAACTTCTCAAATTAACATTAGTACATTTTTCCTTCTATCCACGAGATGTGTGCGTATGTCACCTTTAACAGCAGCTATGTAGACATACAACTTGAGACTTGTAACAGCACAACTTGTGACTTGTGATATGTGCATAGTCATGTAACCTAACTTGTCGCCAACAACCTGTGACCAAGGAATACAGACCGAAGAATGCGATTGCAACTTAATTACCTATGCACATGTGCATGTAGTGATATGATTCTTGGGCATGTACACATAGTCACTTGGCATGTGATGTGTGACCTGTGCAAAAAATACTGTGACCTGACATCTGTGACCTATTTAAGAAAATGTTTGTGACCTGTTTCACAAACATCTGTAACCTGTGATGACCTAATTCAAAATAACTTTGACCTGTGTATATAATACTATAACATGTAATATGTGACACATTTTACAAAAATATGTGAACTGTGTACAGAAACATGATAAAGGTTTGTGACCTATAACACAGACATCTGTGACTTGTTTCAAAAACATCTGTGACATATGATGATCCAATTCAAATTAACTGTGACTTGTGTACTTGA